CTCCAACTTTTCCTGTTGTTTAATTATTCCCCACATCACAGTATCCTTGATAAGTCATGGGGGAGTTCCTGATTTTTTCATAGCAACACTAATAAAACACACTCCTAACGTAGGTAGTAAGAATATTATAACATTTGTCACAATCCTTTTCAATGTATATTATATGTACATGTCATGGATTCATAGCTTTTAAGTCAGAAAGGATCATGGTTATCTCGTTTCACTTTGTGTAACACAAGCCATTGAATGTCATCTAGTAATTCCTGCAGCAAGCCTGTAACTTCTTGTTGAGCTAGACTATATCTTGTAGGAAAACATGTAGTCTTTCCTTGAGATGCGGATGGCTACAGCCACTTCCAGTTGTGGGTAGGGAGAGGCTGAGGGGAAAGGCTGTATGAACAGGGAGATGCCAAAGCCTTTCTCTGCTGTTTGTGTCTTTATTAGTAATTAGGAAATATTTATTTCAGGACACCCTCCCCATCAAATATGGCCTATAATTGTTTCATGATGCCCTATACATGTTCTGGTGTATCGTGGTAGGTGACAGCTAGAGGTTAAGTATCAGAGAGGTAGCCGTGTTAGTCTGAATCTGCAAAAGCGGCGAGGAGTCCTGTGGCACCTTATAGACTAACTGAAGTCTAGGAGCATAAGCTTTCGTGGGCAAAGAAGAGGGCTGGGCTTGCAGAGGAGGGCTGGGCTTCATCCTCTGTGTACCAGGGATAACTGATCACTTCTCGTGTTTCTCCACAGCTACAGCAGGTGCTAGTGCAGGGCGCACCACCCCGCCCAGGACATCCTCCCAGACCCAGGCCCTCAGCAGGCTGACCTGGAACCAGGAGAAGTACCAGTTGCAGCACCTCATGCTCCTGCGAAGGCAAGTCTGCTGCCAGGAGCACTGGGTGCAGGAAGACCTGCAGCTGTGGCAGGAGAGCTTGTGGGAGCTGCTTGACCAAGGGCGTGCCATCTGCGCCCCCCTGCAGCCCCTGGTGCAGAGATTGGTGGCTGCTGCTGCTCCAGCCCCTGTGGTCACCTCAGCTCTCATTCCTTTTCCCACTTCTACTCCTCCTCCCACTTCTTCCTCCCTCCCCTCCCACACCCGCAGTGCTGGGAGACAGGTGGACCAGAAAGACCCCCAACCCTGAACTTCTCCTCCCCCTTCCTTCCTTTGCCTCCCCCTTCCAGCTCCCTCCTCCCAGGTTTCCCCCTCCCTTCTCCCACCCTCATTCCCCCCTCACTCCAATTATGGTCAATAAAGAGAGTTTGTTTTTGGCAACACATGTGTTTTTACTTTACATCAGGAAGGGGGGTTAGGGAGGGGAAAGTGGAAGGACGTGAGAGTGGAATAAGGCACAAGGCCTCAGCGGGGCACACCAGGGAGACTTCACTCCTCCTCTGGATGTAAGTTTTCCCGCGGTTTCTCCCGGGTATGGACAGCCCCCCAATGGGCTTCCCGGCTGGCAGCCATATAGGGCTGCATGTAGAGGTCAGCCAAGTGGTCGGCCTCTGCCATCCAGGCTGCAAGGAAAGCCTCCCTCTCATACTAAGTATGCAGCACACAACATGCTGCCACCATGTGCAGAATATTCTGCTTGGAGAGGTCCAGGCAGGTGAGGAGGCATCTAAAATGGGCCTTCAATTGGCCGAGAGCCCCCTCCACCATGATGCAGGCCCTGCTGAGCTTGGCATTAAAGGCCTATCGGGAGGGGTTGAGGTGTCCCATATAGCGCTTCATGAGCCAGGTTTGTAGTGGGTAGGCCGTATCCCGCACCAGGCACATAGGCACGTCCATGTCCCCAATCCTGATGGGGCGGTCGGGGAAGAAAGTCCCGGCGTGCAGCCTCTGGCACATGGAGGAATTGCGGTACACCCACACATTGTGTGCTTTGCTGGACCAGCTCACGCTGATGTCCATGAACTGGCCCCAATGGTCAGACACAGACTGCAGGATGACCAAGAAGTATCCCTTCCAGCTGATGTAGAGGGAGGTCTGGTGGTCTGGGGCACAGATAGGGATGTGCATCCTGTCGATTGCCTCCCCGCAGGTGGGAAAGCCCAGGGCGCCAAACTCCTCAATCACCGCATCCAAATCGGTGAGGTGGATGACTCTGCGGAGCAACACTCAATAGATGGCCTTGACTACCTGCAGAGGGACACACAAAACCATGGAGAGTCACTGGAGTGACAGAGTGACTGAGAGTGCTCCACTGTCCCATGCCCCCACTCCCAGGAGCAACCCCCCCTGCACTTCTGGCCACCATGGGCAGTCTGTAGTGTGGCTAGGACAGACCAAACCCTTCCAGGGAGGGGAGTTGCACCATCACCACCCCTTTTCCCTAGGGTATCCCATCCCCTCCTCGCACCCTGCACCCTGTATGAGCACTGCTCCGACAGTGGATCTCCCCACACCAAGCTGGTTCACCATGGATCGATAGCTATCCGGCGTGGAGAGCTTCCAGAGAGCGATGGCCACACACTTGTGAAGGGGAATGGTGGGCCTCATGTGCGTGTCCTATCACTGCTGGGCCCGACCCCAATGCCGGAGCCGCTGTAACGCCTCCCTGAACACAGGCGTTGCACTTGCCACTGCCACCCCAGACGCCGAGTGGGGAACCGCCGCTACTGCTGCCTGACTCACTCCTACAAGTTGGACCGCTGCAACTCAGGGGAAGGGGATAGGAAGCAGCCCAGGGCGGGGAGCCGGAAAAGCCCCAGCAGGCTCGGTGCATTTTGGGAAAGACTCCCCACCGAGCCAGTGGTGGGAGCCACCTGCCACTGATAGGGCCCTGGGTTGGGGCCCGGTGGAGACAGAGGGCCCGGGCCCCCCCTACCCCTGCTTCCCAGACCCTCATCGAGTGTGGGATCATGTAAAGGACTAGGCCACATAGCTTACGTATAAAGAACTAGGCCAGCGGGCCGTATTTCCCCTAAGACAGGGACTTTGGACTTTAAGACTTGGCCAGTGGGCTGTATTTCCCCTAAGTTAGGGGCAGCATACTTTGGGGACCAGACCAGGGAGGCCTAAAGTATGCCCCACTCCTGGGCGGCACACTCCGGAACGCACCTCGACAGTGTGTCAGAGAGTTGGCCATTGACATTGTTGACACAGTCATCATGATTAAGAATTATGATGGTGCCTCCTTTTTGGTTGATTTGCACACTACCTTATGGTTTGATTTCCGGGACTATAAAGCTGTTCTCTTGGTGGTAGAGGTGGACGGTGGTGGATATAATGTTCATTGAGGATTTCACAATTGATTATTTTTCTAAAGCAACAGATGTAATGACACCATATAAACCTTGGGTAAACATTTTTCATAAAGCACTTACTCTATAGCTGACCTCTTAGTACTCATTGTCAAAGGAAACTTCAGAAGCCAGATATGACAGATTAAATTAATAACTCTGCTAGACACTAAAAACTGTGAACTCAACAGAAACAGAGGTGTTATGGCTCATTACACTGAGCTGCTGACCTTTACCTGCCCCCCATCACTTTTAATGCTCTTTTTCAACAGTAGTAATAATGCTTACCAATCTAAACCTCAGTAGACCACTTCATTTTAAGTCGTCTCTTGCAATATTTTAAGTGTTATTTAGCCCTGTCTGGTTTCTTCCCCAGACCCAAAGAACGTGGTGCAGCTCAGAGTCTTCTACCTTCCACTAGCAGAAGCTGGTCCAGTAAAATATATTACTTCATCTGCCTTGTCTCTCTCATATCATAGAACCAACATGGTTACAGTTCCACTGCAAATAGCTAAGGAAGATAATCTAATGGGGACATTTATGGGAACAAGGGTGAAAAACTAGGAAACCGTCTTTATAGAGTTCCATACAATGTATGCATACTTTGTTTCCCTGATTATAGACTTTTTTTGAGAAGCAGAATTCTCTGTAGATACATTATTCTCTGGTTGCCCTTCTCTCCTTTGTGCTGTCTTCCATCAACACCAGATGATACGACTCCACTTTGTCATATGATGTTGTGTTTAAAATGAGAATCTCTTTTTACTACAAATAGCTGTGAGCTATCTTGTAAGGTTCTGATCATCTCTTGTAAGTTGCTAAGCACTTGAGAGCCACTGAAGACAATGGGAATCAAGGGTTTTGAGCACTTTATGAGATCTGGCACATGGGGGCGGGAAGGGATATAACAACACCCAAATGTTAAGAGGGTGTTAAGAAGGTACTCCACCATGCAATGCGGCACATACATTTGACAGTGAGTATAACATAATGTATTATAAAATGCCATATTGACTCCAATGCATATTTTAGTATCTAAACAGTAATTATGATAACTTTAAAATTAATTTAAAAATACCAATTATCCTCTACAGATTCTTACTGTCTATTTGCTTGAGCTTGTTGACATCCTTTTGCTTTATCACCAAGTCTTAAAATTGTCTAAATTTGCAGTGAAGACAGATTTAATGAAGATTATTGATTAATTTAATGGGATATTAATAAAGCTACAACTCTCTTGCTAAAATAAAATATAGAATGTTAGGGTTTTCCCATGGGCTGTGTATGGTGTGTGTATGTGGGGGGGGGGGGGGGGGGGGAGGGAGAGAAGCACCAACATGGAAATGCTAAATCATTTTGTTTCAATGATGGTGAAAGATATAATATAAAAGCCAAAGCAAAATTAACAAAAGTGAGAAAATCAAAATGAAAGATTTTTATCTTATCGAACGATTTTTAACATTGAAACCAAATATTTTAACATTCTGTAAATGAAACATCAAAGTTGAAACTATTTGTTTTGACACTTTTGCTTTGAAAATGTTTAAATTTACACATTCCCACAATATGTTTTGATTTCAATGGAACTGTATTTTTTGCTGAAAACTGTTCCATCAATTATTTTTGACCAGCTCTTATGTCAACCCAAGCATGTCAAATTAGCATGTTTTCTTGAAATTTATGAGGAAGATCATTTGTTCTAACACTTAATAAACCTTTATCAATCTGCTTTTAAAGGTAAATGTGTCAAAGCTTGTATCAGATCCTCAGCTAGGTTTTATCAGTGCAGTTCCTTTATGCTGATGATTATTGATTATTTATTGAGTGAAGATATTCCTGGAACTCTTCCAGCAGAAAAGAACTCTGCCCCAAGGACTCTGCACTTTCTGCCTATCACACCAAGGATTCTGTATCCTTCTCACAGACCATATGATGCAAAACTATGAAACCTGAATGCTCAATCTTCAAGCAGTACAAGTTGTGTATGTACTGAGAGTAGTGGAGGTTGTTTGTACAATACAAGAAAGTGTGTTGCATATTCATTGTGGGCCACTGTGACAAGTGGAAAAAGTATATGATGAGGAAGGCTTGGACTTAAGAGCAGGAGGTCATCTGTAGCACAAGCAGGAGAGACGTGTTCAGCCTGACAAATAACAGTTCTGTCTTCTTCAAGTTAAGTTGTAGTCAACTCTCTTGCATCCAGTGATGAATGCTATTAAAACAAGAGAAAATGGAGGAGACTGTTGGGTATAAATTGAAAAGAATCACATATGGAGTTGTGTAAACAGTGGAAAAAACAAAATATGACTATGAATCACATGGGGGCCATAAGGGATTACACAATTTAAAGCACACAGGGCCTAAAAGTGAACTGATATCAATACATGCCACAGCATGTGAAGAGGCAGGCATAGACTTAATCCTTATTGATAAAATTAGTGATATACAGATTGGAGAAAAATGAACAAAATTTGTAACAATACAGTTCGGACCTTCCTGGTCTGAGACCCTCAGGAGCTGAGTGGTCCTAAACCAAGGATTTTGACAGACCAGGGGAGATCAATGCTTCCCTCATAGCTGCCAGCCTCACTCCTGGGCTCCTCTCCAGGCCCTTGACCCACTCTCTGCTCCTGGTCTACCAGGGCTCCCTGCCACTGCCTCCCCTGCTGCTGGGGCCCTAGGTTTCTGACCCCAGCCAAGGCTCTTTCATGTGGTTTTCCGGCCCCAGCTGGGGTTCTTGGAAATGGCATCCTGGCCGCTGCCTCTCTCTCCTTCCTCCCTTCCTCCCCTCCTCTGTGGCACTGGCCCTCCCAGGGGCTTCCTGGCTGCTGTGAGCCCCACTGCCATTGGCCCCACCAGGACTTCACAGCCACCACCGTCCCCTTTTCCACCAGCCTGGCACAGCTTCCCAGATGCTGGCCCATCCTGAGACTCCCAGGCACCAGCCACACTATCACTGGAGTTCTCAGCCACTGCAAGTGTCTTTTGGGGTTTCCTGACTATTGCCAGCAGCCCCCTGCCTTCGGCCTGGCTTAGGGCTCCGAGCTGCCACTGCTCCCTTTGCTGCAAGCCTTGCCTGGGCTTCCCAACTACCACTGGTCCCTCTGCTGCTGGCCTGGGGCTTCCTGGAAACTGCCCAGCCCAGGACTCCTGAGTGTTGCTGGCCTCACTGGAGTTTCCTGCCACATCCTGGCATTCCCTTACTTCTGGCCCAGCCCAAGGCTTCCAGACATATTAGGGGTTTCCCAGCTGCTGCCAGAAGCCTCCTGACATTGTCCTACTGGTACAGCTTGGGGCTTCTGGCCGTTTGACTCTCAGCTTGTCCCCACTCTTAGCTGCTGGCATTTTGTGGTCCAGCAACTTCTGTGGTCCAACAAAATTGGTTATTGGTTATTTTTAAGTGAAAGGTAGATACACCTTGAGTGCAGGGATTTGGACGAGATGACCAGTCAAGGTCCCTTTTAGTCTCAAATTTCTGTCCTATGCCTCCACCTTGAATATTGCATGGAATTCTGGTTGCCCCAGCTCAGAAAAGATATATTAGTAAAAGTAAAAAGATGGCCCACAGAATAATTAGGGGGGTGGAACAGCTTAGAAATGAGGTGATATTATAATGATTGTGACTATTTATCTTAGAGAATAAATTACTATGTCATGGTGGTATGGCAGAAGTCTGCAAATTCACGAATGATATGGTGCAAGTGAATGGTCAGGCTATTTACCCCGCCACACAACATAAGAGCCTGGGGGTCACTCAATGAAATTAATAGGCATCAGGTTTAAAACAAACAGAAATTACTACTTAAGAAATCACCCATTCAACATGTGAAACTTGTTGCCAGCGGAAGTAGTGATGACCAAAAGAATAACTGGTTCAAAAAAGAATTAAGGAAGTTCATGTAAAATAGATATAGCAATGGCTAGTAGCCAACATGGTCAGGGCTGCAACCCTATGGAATGGATGTCCCTAAATCTCTGACTGCCAGAAGCTGAAACTGGTTTACAGAGGTTGGGTCACTTGCTAAAGTGCCCTATTTTGTTAATTCTCACTGAAACTTCTGTCACTAGCCAATGTCAGAAGACAGGATACTAGACTAGATGGACCATTAGTGTGATTCAGTATGGGCATGCTTAAAATAGAATTGAATCTATAAATTGATGGATTTCCTTTATAATAATCTTCTAATTAAAGTTTTATGTACTAGTGTTCCATGAATCATCCACCTGATACAATTTCCTTAAGGAAAGTGGCATGAGGGTGCCTGCTAGTCAAGGAGTGTTCCTGCCCTAGACATCAGTGGAGATAGGCCAGATCCCCACTTAAGAGGGGGTGTTTGGTAGACAGAGTGAAGAAAGTGTATTTGAAAAGGTGGTGTAGAACCCAACAGAGGAGTCCTAGAATTAGGTTGCAATAGCAACAGTTAATAACACAATGGTTGACTAATATAGTGGTACAGAATGTTTTAAATATTCCAGATGTGGAAAAGAAATTAGCAGTAAATAAGGTAAGTATGAATCTTGGGTCAGCGAGTTGTTCATACTTTAGATTCCATAGAACATCAAAGGACCCAGACGGCTGACTTAATGAGCCCCCCATAAGATTCCCTAGCAATAGACAGTGTTCCTAGGAAAAGGTCTGGAGCCTTTTTTTATCTTTTGAGCCTTAGTTGCCTAAAGGCCTGTATCTTTGGGCTGTGGATAGTCCACATAAATTAGAACAACCTTTGAGATATATTAATTCAATGCTGGGAGCATGGGGCAGTGCTGAATGCTCCCATATTTAGAATCTGTAAAAGCACAAATAGTACTAAAGTGCATCTGAACCAAACTGGAGGATTTGACACAAAGTTGTATTTAAGCAAATACTTAGTGTATTTATATATACTGTGTCAGATCCTCCAATGTATTGGGTATGGACATGTGTGTATATATGATTTTTTCAGCTTGTCGGCTTTTTCTGCCCGCAGGGTGTCATCATTCTGATTTCCAAGACAGATTTTTTGTAGGAAATTTCAATTTTGCCAAGACGGCATTATTCAATTGGAAAACCATACGGAAGCAAAATTCATGGCCAGTTCAGAGAGATGATTTTGTGTGTGTGTGTGTGTGTGTGTGTGTGTGTTTCATTTTTTAAGACGCTAGCAACTTGTCCTTGAGACAGAGCCTTTGTTGGCTGCTGTTTTTCTACTGAGTCAGTCTAGTGTGATTGAAATATGAAATAAGAAATCAAAAAGAAAAAAATGCATACTTAACTTGAATATGCAACCCCCCCCAAACAAAAACAAAAACTAAAGCCTCTTCAACAATGCTGTATACATTTTGTGTGTCCTGAAGGCAAGATTCTTATCTCAGTTACATCCAGAGTATTGCTGAATCACTGGAGTGACTTCAGCTTTATACTAGCAATGACAGTAGATTTTGGCTCTAGATCAGATTCAAACTTCATTGCACTGTGATTCTCTTCTGACAACAAAAATTGCTACATGACCGCAGGAGGTGAGACTGAAGCCTGAGCCCCACCACCACGGTTGGAGGGGACAAAGCCAAAGACCAAGGGCTTCAGCCCCAGGCAGTAAGCCTATTACTTGAGCCCCACTGCCCAGGGTTGAATCCTAAGGTTTCAGCTTCACTGCCGGGCAATGGGACTCAGGTTTCGGCTTTGCTCCTGGGCCCCAACAAGTCTAAGCAAGCCTTGGTGAGGCTATTAAAATGGGATCTTGACCCATAGTCTCAGACTCCCTGCTCTAGATCCTTTCTTGAAGTTATTCCTCCCTATAAATAAAGTTGATATAACATTTATCACTAATCAGAAATTACCAAGAGGAGGTTGCTCACCACCTTCATCATTATTCATTGGTATATCTCTTTTGCATTTCGTAAATTCAGCATATTTTTTGTTTCCTTACTACTTGTGAAAGTTTAATTGAATAAATTATACAGTGTTCATCTACTTGTTAATCTTGTGCCCTGTTGTTACTTGAAATGAACTATCTCTAATGCCACCCTGTTGCATATTCATGTAGGTCATATTAATAATAGAGTTCAGAATTGACACAAACAAGTATTGTCAGGTCATAAAGTTTGTAAATACTAATGAATTGATTGCAATCAGAATGCTAATATCTTAGAAGAAAATAAATGAGTTTCGTTCTCCCTATAACTTTTCAGTTTGGGGGTTTCTCCCATGCAAGTACAGCCTCTTCCTGACTTACTAACAAGTTATGGACCAAGCAATTGGTTGTAACTCAGTTCGTTCATAAGTCGGACCCCATAGAATTACACGCAACCTCACTGTTCGTAAGCGCAGATCGCTTTCGTAACTCAGGGTCTGCCATTTACAACAGCTTCGGTCATAACAGCAAACAGTCGTAAGTCGACTGTTCACAACTCGGGGACCGACTGTACAGATATTATAGCTATGTTGTCTAAGCAGTAGCACCAGTAGATTCCTATTAACCTTTTTAATGAATGATAGAAAAATTAAATCATTAGCTAACTTTACTTGTAAGCCATAGGCTCACTAACAATAATATGATCCTCAATTATGGTTTTGATGGCTCACAGAGCTTTCATCTGTGGTCTCTCCGAATGTGTATGTCTCTGCTACCACACAGAGCATATGGAATCTATACCTCACCCAAGTTTGTTCACCTGAAATTTGCATGGAATAGCTACATGAGAAAATCATAGAATCATAGAGCTGGAAGAGACCTCAGAAGGTCATCAAGTCCAGCCCCCTGCCCAAGGCAGGACCAATCCCAAAAAAATCAATTCGGCTTTGTCAAGCCAATAATTTCTTGTCTATTTAATTTGTCCATTAGAAACATTGACACCCTCTGTGAGAGCAAAGATTGTTCAGAACCTTTGAGAATAAAAGATATTTGTATTCTGGTTGGTTCAGGAGAGGGGCAAACAGCTCTTGCTTGTCTAGAACCACTTACTCACTTTTTGCTAGATTCTATCTCTGCCTTCTCTTTTTTCTTCATCAGAGTTCTCCCTCTCTTGCTCTTGTTTCTTCTTCCCTCTTTTGCCTCCTCCATCACAAATCATTTCTGGTGCTCTACATATTCCTGACTGAATTCTATTTACACTAATCTTGTAATGTGTTTTAAAAATGCAATAAATGAGCAAGTTGCACAATACATTTTATTAATAGAAACCAATATTATGGCTCTATTAATCTTTATGTTTAATTTATGGCTTAATTGGAGG